TGTTGAGTGGGGTTTAGAAGGATGAGGTAGGGGATCTCATAGAACCCTATAAAAGTCTAACAGGACCAGGCAGGGTCAACGCAGGAAGGATGTTCTTGATGACCCCGGGAGTCCAGAACCAGGGGATCACATCCTAAGGATTACGGGGTGGGAAAAAGCAGGAACAGGGCACTGAGTTGGATGATCAATCCTGATCCTACCGAATGGTAGAGCAGGCTCAAAGGGCTGAATGGCCTCCTCCTGCTCCTATTTTCTCTGCTTCTGGCTTATTTCCTTCAATGCTATTAGTCAAAGTGATGGGCAGTCAATTATACCCCAAATGGATCCGAGATAGACATTTCACAGATGAATTGACCCTGCAGAATCCCACTACCCAAACTCCCGACTGTCTGATACAAACTCTCACCCAATCCTGCCTACCCAACCTTCCAATATAAGAAATGGGACCCGGGGTAGGCCATTCAGCCCCTCGATTCTGCCCCACCATTCGATCCAATTGTGGCTGATCTCATCTCGGCCTCAACCCCACCTTCCTGCCCCTCTCCCTTTAACCTGTTCCTGATTTAAAATCTGTCTGTCTCCTCCTGAAAAATGTATTCAGTGACGCCCCCCCAGCCCCCACCACACACTCTGGGGGCAGTGAATTACACAGATTCACCCCCTGCCCACTTTGAGAGAAGCCATTCCTCCTCATCTCTGTTTTAAATCTGCTGCCCCTCCTTATCTTGAAACAATGACCTCTCATTCTAGACTGCACCCCCCCATGAGGAAATATCCTCCCTATTTGTCAATCCCCCTTTAGCGTCTTATAGACCTTCGTTAGATCCCCTCTCGTTCTTCCAAACTCTACAGAGGATTGGCTTAAACCACTCAATCTCTCTTCACAAGACAAACCTCCCTCTGGAGTTAATCGAGTGAAACTTTTCACAACTGCCTTCATTACAACTACATCCCTCCTCAAGTAAAGGGACCAAAACCCTACACAATACTCCAGGTGTGGTCTCACTAATGTCTTACAAAGTTGTGACAACTTTCTTTTATTCATTCACGGGATGAGGACATCGCTGGCCAGGCCAGCATTTATTGCCCATCCCTAATTACCCAGAGAGCAATTAAGAGTCAACCACATTGCTGTGGGTCTGGAGTCACATGTAGGCCCAGACCAGGTAAGGATGGCAGTTTCCTTCCCTAAAGGACATTAGCAAACCAGACGAGTTTTCCCGATAATCGGCAATGGATTCACGGTCATCGTTAGATTCTTAATTCTAGGTTTTTAACTGAGTTCAAATTCCACCATCTGCCATAACGGGATTTGAACCCCTGTCTCCAGAATGTTACCTGGGTGTCTGGATTAATGGTCCAGCGATAATACCACGAGGCTGTTGCTGCCCCTGCTTTTATACTCCATTCCTTCAGCAATAAATTCAGTTGCTTAGGCACCAGGTTCGTAGAGGAGGCCTGGGAATCCTTTTTGATCATTTTAATGGCAGTTTTTCGTCAATGTCACCGTGTGACGCCATGACGATTTTCTTCAGCATCATGGGGATCCGACTGGGAATTCCAGTTGAGGGGTTGGGACTTGAGTCTAGAGCCATGAAATGGATTAATTTCTCTTTTTTTTACAGTTTCTTTGTTTTAATTATACTATCAGGGAAGGGCTGTTATTCTGAACTTTTTATTTCTTTATATTTCTAATTTATTACTGTCATTTTGTACTTTCAAAGTCTGTAATGCTGAACATTTTATTTCTTCATGTTACTAATTTTTGTACTCAAGAAGATGTAGCGAGGTACCTTATACCTAAGATGGTCTCATAAGTAGTGATGTGTAAATTTTTTACTGTGCTCCTGTGATAATAAAGCTAATTCTATTCAATTCACTCATACAAATTCCATTTGCTCAGCCATTTTGACCTCACACTCTCCACCCCATCTCCCAAACCCCCACGTCTCTGTAACCTCCTCACCCACACACTGCCTCCCTCCGATTTCTGATCACCTGAACATCATCCACCCCCTTCCAACTCATCCAGCATTTTCATCGCTCCATCATTGCCAGTAATTCCTGCAGCTGTCTGGGGTCAGCGAGCTCTGGAATTCCCTCCCTGATCCTGGAGGATTATCCTTAAATCTAACCTCCTTGACTGAGCCTTTGGGTTCAATTAGTCTTCTCTAAGACACCACAAGATATTTAACCATCTGGAAGATATAATGTATTATAGAATATACATTCATATTACAGAAGAGATGCTAGAGGTCTTAAAACACATAAAGGTAGATAAATCTCTGGGAAATCTTTGCGTATCAAAGTTGGGACATTATGTGGAGGTGGTACAGGACGTTGGTGAGGTCTCTTCTGGAGTACTGTGTCCAGTTCTGGACGCCCTATTATATGAAGGATATTATTAAACTGGAGAGGGTTCAGAAGAGATTTACCAGGATGTTGCCGGGAATGAAGTGTTTAAGATTATAAAGAGAGGCTGGGTAGGCTGGAACTTCTTTCACTGGAGCGTAGGAGGTTGAGAGGTGACCTTATAGAGGTTTATAAAATCACGAGGGATATGGATAAGGTCAATGGCAGGTGTTTTTTCCCTAGGGTGGGGGATTTCAAGACTAGGGGGTATTTTTTAAGGTGAGAAAAGAAAGATTTAAAAAAGATATGAGGGGCAATTTTTTTTTTAAACCCAGAGCGTGGAATGAACTTCCAGAGGAAGTAGTGGATGATGGTACAGTTACAACGTTTAAAAGAGAAATACATTTAAAAGGCATCTGGATGGGTACATGAATAGGAAGGGTTTAGAGGTATATGGGCCAAATGCTAGGAATATGGGACTAGATTAATTTAGGATATCTAGTCAGCATGGATGAGTTGGACTGAAGGGTCTGTTTCCGTGCTGTACAACTCTGTGACTTTATAAACGCGGTTCACAGTTTGAGTAGGATTAGCGGTTTGCAAACAAGATTAATAATCTCAATGCTCTGGTCTAGAAAGGTTCAGACATGAAGCAACTGTGCAAAAGTCTTGGTTTAACATTGTTCACAAATTTGTCCTCATCCAGCAGGTGAAGCAGGCAGTGCCTCAGTGTGGATCGTCATCTCCAGAGCGAGGTCGTAGGTTCAAGGCCAACTCAAGACAAACCCATCAGTCAGAATAACATTCATAGTGCAGTAATGAGGGGGCGCCGCACTGTCGGAGGGTCAGCGCTGAGGGGGCGCCGC